AGTTGCAATATGAATTATTTGATTTCCAATGTAAAACTTATTATTTCCTCTATCGATATTAGGAATTGAATTAAAAGTCAACAATTCAACAAGACCAAGTACATAACTTTTATTTGAATTTAGTTCTATTGGAGGTAAATATTCAGCTTCAAAAACTGAAGAATTTCCCGTTAACGTTAAAGTAAATGAATCACTCATCATGCTATCAGATTTTATACTGAAAGGTTACAATAGTTACACACTTTTATATAGATTAAAGCTACTCTTAATATTTAGTTGATTACATAAAAATTTAAGACACAAGTGCCGACACACAAATGTATCATAATTTTGAAATCTTTTATGATTATATTTTATTAAGCTACCATCACCTACATAAATGACAAGATCTGTTGGAGGAGCAAGGTTACCAAAACTATCAAAATACATTGTTTCATTTCAAAAATTTTTTATATGCTACCCAATGTGTTCCAGCACCTTCTTTATTATCAAGATTAATTATTCCTGATTCACACTTGTGAGGACCACTAATAGGTAGTTCATTTCGCATAAAAACACCACGAAAATAAGGTATTTTTATAGTTTTGGCATACTTCAACAAATCAAAATCAGTTAATGGACGATGAGGTAGCTTCAGAACAAGTTTTTTTTCCTTCTTGTTATTCTCTTCTTCCTTGATGCTCGTTTTTTTCTTTCTCGGTGCTCGTTTCTTTCGTTTTCTAATTCCTTTTCCTTGAGTGTAATGTTTAAGATGGAGACCAAGTCCTTGCCGATAAGGTTTAAGGTGTAATCCTTTTCCAAGCGATATAGCTTCCATTTTTTTATTGTGACGTTGAGCTTCTGCAAGCTGTTCACTGGCTGTTTTAGCCTTATTAACAGCCCTTGCTATTCCTGAAGCTCCTCCAGCAAGAGCTCCTAAAGCACTAAGTCCAGCAAAAATTGGAACAAGCGGTAGAATTCCACCTACTTTAGTAGGTACAGGAAGAATTCGAGGTGATAAAATTTTAGATTTACCACCAACATTTTTTATTGCTTTTCGTGCACCAATCACAGCTGCTCGAATTGTTTCTTCAGCATTATTACTGGGAACCATACTTTTTCGCGCAGCATCGACAATTTTCCTTAGTGCTATTCTTTTCTTCTTACATATTGTTTTTCTTTTTTTCTTTCTTATGGATGACTTTCTCCTTCTTTTCATCCCCATACCTAATTTAGATTTAGTTTTCATGGTTCCGGAAATAGCTAAAGCAGCTGCTCGTTCACTCACACTAGAATTTTTAGCTGTATCACGTTCCCACGCTTTCTTAGCTAATATTTTATCTGCTTCGTTTCTAGCTTGAATATTTTCTCGATTTTGCGAATATGCAATGTCGTGTTGCTTACAAACAGCGTCTAATGGATTAATTCCTTGATCACCTCGAGACAAACGCTTTGCTAACTTTGTACCAGGCCCACAGAATTGATATCTTGGTAAATGCAACTCAAACGGTAAACTATTGATTATACGATTGATTAAACCTTTTCCTTGATAGCGTTCTTTTTTCACCTCTTTATGCAGAATCATTCTTCACTCTACAATGGTTGTCGTGAAACTGACAAAATTACTATATAAGCTAGGTATTTATACATTTTAGGGTAGTTACTGTCAAGATGCAGTTCACGAAACAACCTGTCATGCTGCCAATAACTAGTATAGATATAGAAACAAACGAAAAAAAGATTAAACGTCATGGTAGTCTGTTTTCAGACAGCATTCGAGCTGTTTTCTGTGGTCCCTCAAATTGTGGTAAAACAAATGCTCTTCTTTCCCTAATAATACATCCAAATGGTCTGAGTTTTGAAAATATTTATCTCTACTCTAAATCTCTACAGCAACCGAAATATAAATTTTTGGAAAATGTCATCGGTAACGTGAATGGTGTTGAGTACTTTCCATTTAGTGAACATGAAGAAGTAGTATCTCCAAAAGACGCTAAACCAAATTCAATATTCATTTTTGATGACATTGCTTGCGAAAAACAAGATAATGTTAGAGCTTTCTTTTGTATGGGTAGACATGTAAACGTTGACAGTTTCTACTTGTGTCAAACGTACGCTCGTATTCCAAAACATCTAGTTCGAGATAATGTAAATTTATTGGTTCTATTCAGACAAGATGAAAAGAATCTGAAACATGTTTATGAAGATCATGTTAATACTGATATGAGTTATACTCAATTTCGCGATTTATGTTTAGAATGTTGGAAATCTGATAAATATGGATTTGTTGTTATTGATAAGAACCGTAATTTTAATGAGGGAAGATATAGAAGAGGATTTGATTGCTTCATTACACTATAAATATAAGAACTTTATTGAATTTTTAATTAGTATAGTTTATATTGTCACTAAGAAAACATGTATAGAAAAAAGCAAGAAACACTTCGTCAAATAGCAAAAGCAAGTGATGCTATTAGGCGAAAACATCGTTTCCTCAAAATGGGTAAAGAGGCTGCAGAAACAGTTTTAAAAGAAACTCTTCAACCTATAGTAACACCTCTTGAAAAGTTGGTTAAAGTAACTGACATACCTTTCAAAAATGTTAAGAAAGAAAAAGTAAAAAAAGAGGAAAATGATTTTTCTTTCTCTACTGCAGTTGATGAGGAGGAGGAATTTGATAAAACACTACTCAATGACACTCTATTTGATAAGAGTACTAATTTTGAAAAAGCATCAGATGAAAATCTTAATTATGAAAATTTGACAAATAAATTTATTACATTATTGAATAAAAACAGAAAAACTTTTTTAGACATGGTTTATGGAGTACGTAAGCTGCCTAATGGTACTTTTATGATTGGAGATACACCAGTTGATTTAGAAGGTCCTCATATTCGACTTGCTGGAAAGAAAAAATATTTAAAAACTACTGGGTTAATTGAACTCTTATTTAAACAAAGAGCTAAACAAGAATTAATAAGTCTAGATGATTTAGAAAATTATAAAGAAATTCTTGTAGCTACAAATGCACATCGAAAAAATTATAGTTACAGTGAACCTGTCAACATAAACAGGAGTTCTAAATACATTGATATCATTGCAAAACTTTTTAAGAGTACACCAAAAAAGGGTAGAGGTATTTTTAAAGGGAAGAAGAAGAAGAAGCTTGGAAATAAATTACCTCAATTTATGATTACAAAGAAACAATTTAACCTAGACTACATCTATTGGGATGATCCTAATGAACTAGTTGACCGATTACGTCTGCTAGTAGCATCGCAGCAAGCTGGAAATCCGAACCACAATAATGAAATTATGTCAATTATTGAAGAGCTACGTGAAGCTCGCATTATATATTAGAAGAGTTCAAGCAAATAAAGCTTAGTATTAAAATGAGCATTGATGTGTTTGGACATCCTTTGTCACGACCTACTGTAAGTCGTGGACAACCTGGACCTTCTGGAATTAGTTTTAAAATTACTCCAAATGGACAATACGATATTGATAACAAAAGACTTTGCAACGTGCAAGACGCTGAAGAGCAACACGACGCAGTAAATTTAAGACAAGTAAAACAAATTGTTAAAAACGAAATAAAAACTGTCTTTGCAGTTACATCATCTTCAAGATCAGCTATTGATGACTTGAATATTCTTATACAATCTATCGAGGAAAGAATTCACGAAAAACTTAAGCAGATTGAAACTGATTTACAACTTGAATTACCTTTTCAAAACGCTAAATACATCGCTAAATTAGATTCACGTTTAACAAACCTTGAAAATGGACAATGAAAAGTTAACTGTTGTTAAAGAGTTGCATAGACAGGCTAGAAAAAATTATCCTCGTCGAAAAGTTAAAATGCGTGGTATTGATGAAACCTGGCAAGCAGATTTGGTTGAAATGATACCTTATTCTTATTCCAATAAAGGTTTCAAATACATGCTCACAGTTATAGACATATTTTCCAAATATGCCTGGGCTGTAGCTGTAAAGAGTAAGAATGGAAAGGACATTTCTCTAGCCATGAAAACTATTCTAAAACAAGGCAGAATTCCAAAAAATTTGCACACTGATAGAGGCAAAGAATTTTACAATTCTGAATTTAAGAGTTTAATGCAAGAATTTAACATTAATCTCTATTCTACCTATAGTAATTTAAAAGCCTCAATTATTGAAAGATTTAACCGCACTCTGAAAAATATGATGTGGCCTGAATTCAGCTTACAAGGCAATTACAAATGAATAAATCTTTTACCTACACTCATATCAAAGTACAATAATAAAAAGCATCGTACTATTGGTATGAAACCCAAAGATGTTACCGTAGAAGATACAAGAGAACTGCTGAGACGTATCCGTAAACTACGAAAAATTCCGCTGAAAAAATCAAAATTCAAAAGAGGAGATAGAGTTCGAGTCAGCAAATTTAAAAATATTTTCGAAAAAGGATATACCCCCAACTGGACAACGGAAATATTCACTGTGGACCAAGTCAAATCGACAAAACCAGTTACATACAAGCTGAAAGATTACCAAAATCAACCCATCGAAGGTGGTTTCTATGAGGAAGAACTGCTGAAAGTCCAGTATCCAGATGTTTACCTTGTTGAGAAAGTCCTGAAAACTCGTGGTAATGATGTCTATGTAAAATGGCTTGGATTTGATAGCTCGCACAATAGTTGGATAAAAAAATCTGATATGTAATATAGTTAAAGTAACGTTAAAGTATTGTTAAAGTAACGTTAAAGTATAGTTAAACTATAGTTAAAAAAGGTTAAAATAAGTTAAAGAAAAAAGTTAAAATAAGATAAAGTAAAGTTAAAATAGGTTAAATTAACGTTAAAGTATAGTTAAAATAAGTTAAAGTAATGTTAAGAAAAGTTAAAATAAGTTAAGATAAGTTTAAAAAGTTAAAATATATTCATGTGACTAGATTAAGGTTTATTTAAAATAAAGAAGACATCAAATAAAATGAACATCTTTTATTCAAACAATCAATTCCTTCCTCTCTCTTTTTTTTACAATGCTTCATCATCTTCCATAATTTCTGCAATTTTACAATGCCCCCATGCTAGGGTGTCGGTGCTGTTGGCTAACAAAAATCTTTTATCATCGAAAGGACTCAGAGCAATTTTTGTTTGTTTTAAAGTATGAACATTGTGAAGGTTTGATCTTATACAATATTGCGTTCTAGATTGAATTTTTACATTTTGTAAACAATACACATAATCATCAAAGTCTATGTCCTTCTTAACAACTACAGCTTTCACACCTTTAGCCTTTTTTATAACATCTTTGTTTTCAACTCGCACACTGTACATCTTGCTCCGCAAGCCAACAAATTCGGTCACGATTTTTCCACTGCACTCATCTTTCATCAATCCTAAAACTTTTTTGTTGGCTTGCGGAATACCGTACACGTTATTAACCGGATAATCTGACGTATCGAATTTATCAATATCTGCTTTCATGTCTGCATAAATGTCGGAGCATCTGATTTCGTAGATGAGGCTATCAGTGTCGGTGTACAATAGTTTTAAATTTTTCGCGTCATATTTGTTTAAAATGTAATCATAATGGAAATCATAGATTAACGTTTTGGAAACATCCAAGACTGTTAAACCCACATAAAGTGGCTTGTTTAGTAGTACCTCCATTTTTCTAAGTTCCACGGCAACCAAATTCAGATTAAAAATGGTTCTGCTGTGGAAGTTAGGTTTCGCGATTAAAGCTTCAGCTCCATATCTACCCTCCCACTTTGTAACGAGTTTAATATCGACATGTTTTCGCACGTTCTCCATTGTCTTACCAAATACCGCGTTGTTCATTAATTTAAATAAATTCTTTTCAAATTCATTGCTTGCACTTGTTCTTCGAGTTGTATTAAAATCAATATATGATTTTAACCACGTGGATTGTTTAAATTTCAATACACGGTGAATTTTTACTAATACAAGACCATTCGCCAAAGCTTGTTTTAACGCGCGATAATGGAGAACGTGCTTTCTCTTTGGTAGGAGGGTAGTTAGGAGCTTTTCCTTTTTAGATCCAGGTGGCTTCGAGCGTTCAGGGCAAAACGGAAAATCACTATGCTTATCATGCAAATCATCGGGGTAATCCAAATCAACTTCTAAAATATAGCCAATCGCCTCGTCATCAGAGACGTTGAAATCAAAGCTATTGTCAAAATTTTCTATCCACTCGAAGCCACCATAGGGAAGTGACTGGATCATTGCCCAACCGTAGAGGTTATTTGCATCAAAGTATACGATATAAGATGTCCCCTCACTTTCATTATATTCCTTCATATAATGATTATTAGCTTTAGCATACCGATTGGTGCATTGACTTACTCCACCTCTAATTCCGCGTTCGACAAACATTACCACATCGATGTCAGTGAGGAGCTCTAATCTTATATTCGTATGCTTTAACATGGCATCCCATGTCAAGCCCGGTGTCGTGTAGTAATGGGCTGGATCGAGACCGTACGAGATTAAACATTGATTTCTAAAATTTTCAAAAATGTCCGCGAGTAACAAAATATCGGTTTGCATATACAGGTACACATAATCACCCAAATTTTGACAATCAAACTCAGTCCACACATTTTGCGCATGTGCATAATCCTCATCAGAGACATTTGAGTCGTTTAATGTGCTATAAAATTTTTCTTTTGGTGGTAACTCAATTTCATCAAGTTTTTCCTTTGAGTCAATATACTCGTAAGGAAAAACTCCTTTTCGCGTTAACAATTTTATTTTATCAGCACTGTAATTGGAAAAAACTGTGTTTACAATTTTATATTCATCGAGGTAGGATGCTAACTTGTCCAATGATGATGCCATGAATTTAAAAGAATCGATAAAGCGGAACTTGATGTAACTACCTTTCACACTTTTCGTGAAACCGATATACTTTTCTTTGTTAATAGGAAGCAAACAAACATCACCCTCAAATTCTGTAGCAATAGCTTCGATAATAAAATGCGCGTCATACCCGCTAAGGTTATGAAAAACAACAGGTATTATTTGCGATTCATGATAATTAATATTGCAATCTTGATGTGCGGGTCCCCGATACTTCCCTGTTAGATGACAGTGGTCTCGTACTTTTACATCCCCAGGCCTTGATTTTATTCCTACAAATATGACATTTACTGGCATATCTAAAATCATCTAGTTGCTGTCGACTTAACACTTCCATTGGTACAGGATTCTTAAATAAATTGTCAAGATTGTCAGCCACATTCTTTAATTCAGTTGAAAACCATTTAGCCGGATTTTCTTCACCTCTTGGAGATGCTTTATATATGGACAAGGAGTTGTCAAAACCACACTTTAAATAGTAGCCAATACTGAGAGTTTTGTGATTTTGAAAAATCTCAGTATTACTAGGTTGCTGTGGTGCTTCCGCAGGAATCAGGATACTTTCAGTCTGCATAAATGATGAATGGCACACGTTCCTTGTTTTGGTAATTTTTAAATTCAATAAAATTTTTCCCTGGTTCAGGAAGCTTAATACTCGTAACGTTCATCTTTTGACAGATTTCTTCATGGTAAGTTAGTTTAAGTTCATCTCTAAAATAATGCAGGCAACGATCACAGATGTGCTTTTTACCCCTATGACCTGACAATTGAGTGCTGACAAGTCTGGATAAATCTTTAATGTACACATAATGGTAGTTGAAAGAGATGATTTTTTGATCGTCCTCCTCCTCTTCCTCCTCACTCTTAAGATTTTCATCAATGTAGTGGTCTTCAACTCGAAGAAGATTTACATGAATAACCTTCTTTTGCGATGACAAATGTAATGGAGCAACAGTAAACTTTTCATCTTTTTTTATGAGTCCATACACATTCACTGAAATGTTGTTCTGTGCCTCAAATTTTGAAACATCTTTGAGAGCAACAGGAAACTGAATTCCAGTGAAATTAAGCTCATCTTCATAATACTTATATTTTGAAACTCGATCAGCATGGTTTTCAACTGGATGTAAAGCTGACAAAATTGACCATTTAAAGCATTGCTGATCAGCATTCTGAACATTAATGGAAGAGTGTTTTGTTTTAATGGAAGGTGGTAAATCGATATATTAACCAGCATGCATGGGATTATAACTGTTAATGTTAACCTCTAATCTTTGAATAGAATGAAGTCTCCAATTCGATTCTTTCTGTTGGAATTTTTCCATTCTTCTCAAAGTTATTTGTTTAACATTACCATTGTACCACTCATCTAAGTGAGTTGTTACAAATATTTCACCCGTTTTCGCGATAAATGTCTTCAGATCAGACATTTCTTCCTTTCCGTTTATCGACTCTTTTATAAACTTCGCGCCCAACACAGTATACACTTTTAGCGGCCCATATTTATCTAAAGCTTTTCGTATGTTAAATTCAAACAAAACAAAGGCATCATCAAGAAACTCGTTAACGTCAATGTAGTCAATATTTAAAAAAGCACTAGTCTGTAAACGACCATCAAATGCCTTATCAAAATCAACCCACTTCATTCTTTCGTTATCCATTTGTACACCTGCACCACGTTTCATTAAAGCATTAAAATTGCATAACAAGTATTCCAACTTTTGAGTTAGGTTTAAACATCTTGATTTCTGATAAGACAAAGAATCAGAATTTCTTAAAAATGATTGCAAAATATTTTTGTTACGTTGACACTTGTTATACCATTCGAATGCACTAACAATTTTATCCTCACCTGTCATTCCCATTGTGGTGATGAGTTGACGTTCAGCGATGTTGATTAAGTTGTCTGACTCACGACACAATTCGTTGTACTCATCCACACTCATTCGATGTCGCGATTTTTTTTTCACTGTTTTGATCTTCGACATGTTGAACCTAAGCCTAAAAACCTGAGTAAAATAAAAAAAAGGAATAAAACTAAAATAAAAATAAAAAAACCTAAAGCTGAAAGAATAAAAGGAATATAACTAAAATAAAAATAAAAAATCCTAAAGCTAAAAAAATAACAGGAATAAAATAAAAATAAAAAAATCCTAAAGCTGAAAGAATAAAAGGAACAAAATAAAAATAAAAAAACCCTGTAAAAGAAAATCCACCACCAAAAAACAAAAAAAGCACCTAAAAACCTGAAATTGATAAAAAATAATTATGAAAAGCACTCTGGAAACACTGAAAACGACTCTAAACTGTAAACTACAGAAGCTTCTAAACGCCACCTAGTAGAACGAAGCAAGAAGTTTGTAATCAAGTGTTATCGGTCGATTTTGGAACATAGAAACATCAGTGTTCGATAGTAAAATGTAACATGAAACGGCGGAATAAGTGGAACGCACTCCACAGTTCCTGTGTTCAACTGTTCGAAAGCGTCGGAAGCTTGTAAGGTAATGTTTTTTTAATTTAAATTAAAAAGAATAATAGTTTTAAAAAATAAATTGAATTTGAAGGTAAGTTTTATTTCGAATAGAAAGATATTAAAACGGTTAATAGTTTTAGAAAGGTTAATTCGTTAATTGAATTTGAAGGAAAGTTTTCTTTCGAATAGAAAGATATAGTATATATATATTTAAAGGTTATGAAAATGCTTAACCACGTGAATTTAGTATTTTCATACAATAATCACAATTTGTTTATTTTTCACTGAAAAAAATACTAGGCAGAATGTGCTTTTTACTCAGGCAATTTTTGTCTAAGAACAAAAGCAATTTTTTTTTTGAAAAAAAGTAATTTTTGCCTTTATTGAAGGTAAAAATTGCTTTTTTTAAAGGAAACAATTGCTTTACGCTTAAGTATTGCTTTTGTTCTAAGGCAAAAATTGCCTGAGTAAAAAGCACATTCTGCCTATTATTTTTTTCAGTGTTATTCTGTTCATAGTTTTTTATTTAAATTAAAAATTTCGTAATAAAAAAAAAAGTTTACAGTTTCAAAATGTATGCAATAGATTTATTATTTACAGAAATTCCTGTGATTCTATAATATACAATGAATTTTTAATTTTTAGATGGAAAACTCAAGAAGAGGAATTAAATTAATTTTGGACAACGAAATAAGCAACATTTTCGTTGAAAATAATTGTTTAAATAGATCCGTTCTAAACGAATACTATCCAGCCGGGAGCACGTTAACATATAAAGTTAACAATAAAACCTGTTTGCTCGAAACTAACGAGAAACAAATTTTCTTGAAACCCACTGTAACGGAATATTTTGTTAAAACTCCAAAAGGTTTGTATTGTTGGTTTATATATAATTGTTTAAAACAATTTTTTACAAACTATGTATTCTATGTACATGTATTAATAATCGTTGTAATCCGGTAATTTTTTAGCACTTTGAAGTTGTTGTTTGCTTTTTGATTCCTAACTTTTTTAATATTTTTTCTTTTTAAATGTTTCTAATTTTAAAAAAAATACATTGAAAATCATTTAATTCTTGTATAGAACTTTATCAACATTTTTCAAAATAATTGAATTGTTTTGAAAAATTTGTTTGAATTTTTTTTAAATATTGGAGTTTCTTTAAAAATTACAGGCTTCACAGTCTGTCCCCTATTTCCCTAAAAGTCCCCTTTTTTCAATTTTGGCCCCTAAACGTACCCTATATTAAAACTTAAGGAAAGAATTCAATTTTAAGGAACATTCAATTCTTCAATAAGATAATAAAATTCGTTGTAATAATTCTAATATTTTCATAAATAACATTTAATTCGCCGCAGAAAATTAAATATTTTCAAAAAATTTAAAATAATTTTGCAAAAGAATTCAAATAGCTTGATAAATAATAAAATTGCACAAATTCTTCCCATAAAATCAATTATTTTAAGGAATTTTAATAAAACTTTTTTCCAAAATACAATTATTTAGATAAATATCAAAATCGGTCTCAAAAATTAAATTATTATCAAAAATTTTAATTAAATTCTTGGCAAAATTTCAATTATTTAAACACAATTTAATAAAATATTTTGCACGAATTTATTTATTTTTATAAATAGCAAAATTTTTCGCCAAAAATTCAATTATTTTTATAAATAATAATAATTATAAATAATTTGGATTTTTTTTAATATTGAAGTTTCATTATTAATATTAATTGAAAATTTTGAGCGTAATTAAATTTTATAGGAATTTATATGAATTTTTTTAAAATGATCGTGTTTGTTAATAATTGCAAATAAAAATTTTATTTTTTAATTTTATCAAAATTGTATTGAAAATAATTAAATTCTTGTGATTTTATTTAAATATTAAAAATAATTAAGCTCTTCGGAAGAACAGATATTATTAATGGTTTTGAGAATAATTGAATTCTTTCAAAAATTTAAAAAAATAATTGATTCTTTTCGTAACAGTTTATTTAAATTGTATTTCCAAAAATTTAATTATTGCAAAAAATTTTATTAAAATGATTGAAAATAATAAACAATAATAATAATTCTATACATTCTAACGATCTTTACGTTTACTTGCGGATCTTACCCGTGATTCGTTACAAAAATGTCAATTTACTGATTCCAAATTGTTGAATTATAAATTCCACACTTCGAACTTATAATACACCATCGATGACCCGTTTTAGGGAACTTCCCCGGCGCCAGGTAGGTAAACTACCCGGATCACGATGCTGTAACAAAACAAAGAATTTTCCCGGACTAGCTCTTACCGAGCTCAATATTTTATTTACGAAGTTACGTTTTATATTGAAATAATAGGGCGCGAGTACCGCACACAGAGGAGAGAGACAAGTTGAATTTAACACACAAATAAAACAAATGAATAAAGAAAATTATAAGAACACACAAGCAGATTATTTTCTTTTAAATCACTCTTCTTTTTATTTTAAACTTTGAACTTTGTGAAGAGAACTGAGAACTTCCACACGCCGGTGATTGCGACGGTCGACCGAAAATGGCGGCGTCCTATCGGCTTGCCATGAGGTCTTCCTTCTCGATATTATTTCTCGGTCACACCGTGCACCGGTGATATTCCCAAGATAACGAGGAAGATGGGCACTGGACACTAACCTTTGATTCGGTCCAACCGAGCACGGAAATCCATCTTTTAATATTTGGACAGTGAAAATGGTCAACCGCGGTGAAACCGTATAATTTAATCGGCAGCCAGGCACGAACTGTCGAAATTAGGTTAATTGACATCCTGCTTCGGTCCCGTATATATGTCA